CCCCAAAACCCCAAAACCCCAAAACCCCAAAACCCCAAAACCCCAAAACCCCTTCAATCATTTTTACATTGAATTACACTAAATAGCTAATTTCTTTAGGTCATTCTCTTCATCATCATTTAGCTCGCTATGATCCAGATCTACTACAGAGTTTCTGTTGACCGCATCAGAAGCATTGAGATGATCTCCCTCGTCTGCTATACGGTTTCTATGACGAGTTCTTTCTAATCTCATTAGCTCGATATTGGTAATATCATCCTCATCTTCGTACTTAATTTCTCGGTGTCTTCCAAAGTACTGCTCTCATTGTTTCTCAAGTTCGAGGAAATATGTCTCTTTGAGAAGGTAGTACTTTGTCGCTCTGACAACAATAATGAATCCAGCAAGGAACCCAAGCATGTAGGCTGCTACCTCTAGGATACTTTTTATTTTCTCTATTCTAACTTGGAAGAGCATGTTTGAACTCTTAACGTTAAACTGGATTTTTAATCCTTTGTGCTCATCCCCATTAGCCAAGTATCTGTTGACGAGATTTCTCTTGTTTACGGTACTTCCTCTAGAGAATTCCTCCAACTGTACTCTGTAACCTTCGTGGTTCGTTCCTTCAAACTCATTGACATAATGGGTTGGGATCAGAGACATTGACAGGGTTGTAGGCTCTGGTCCTTTGAAAGCTTTAGTGATGTTCTTATTAGAGTCCTGCATCATTTGTGGGGTCATGATTCCTTCAATTTCAGAGAAAGCTATTGGCATATCTTCGAATCCATATTCCCAGACCGATCTGAACTTCCACTTGAAGAAGTGATACGCATAAGTGTAATCAGAATCAAAAGAAACATGAATGATTTGATCCTTTATCTCTGCTTTTGGTACATCTTTGAACACAATTTTGAGGTTGTATTCATCTGAAAAACTATTTAGGGCATTTCTCTTGCACTGGAATGTAGCAACTTTAGCTCCTCTGAAATAAGATGAAAACTGAACCATGTCTCTTCCTTTCTCATGGAGGTTAATCTCCTTTTTATATTTGTCACAGAGATCATCTGGATTTGAATTTGGCTCTTTTTCTTTACTAGCATTGTATAGCAAGAAAGGTCCATTAGCTTCCTTGACCTTACTTCCATAAGCCTGGATTTCAATTTCATAAGAAGATGGCATTTCTCTTTGACTAAAAGGATTTTGAGTTTCAGAGGTTTCTCTTCTTTCGTTGTACGCGAGATAATTGATAAGGTATCCTGCCCAGATGAGAGTAAGGTATAATATAAAGAACACCATCAGGATACCTCCAACCACTTTCTTTCTCTTACCACCAGTTACTGCAACACTATCAATTTCTCTGAAAATGAAAAGGAATCTTTCTTTACATCCAGTTAGAATAATAGCGACAATGATCGAGCACACTAGGGTGAGGAATACTAACAAGAGAACTATGTAGGTAGATGTATAATCTACTGTAATATCATTTGTATCTAAAATTTTAGGGATGTTATTGATTTGAACATCACTCATCAAAGCAGCAAATTTTTCCTTTTCAAATTCATACTTGGTTCCTAAAGGACAAATTTTATCCTCTGCTCATTCTTTACAATGAGATCTTGAAGCAGAACTAAAGATGAATCCTCCAGCTCATGGGACTCAGCTTCTGTAGTTTCCTCCAATCAGTCCTCTTGGACACGAGTTACACTGAGACTTGAAGTAGTCATCGAAGTTTTCATCAAAATATTCATACTGCTCACACCATTTGCATTCTTTTGTCTTTCCACTGAAAAAGCTACCTTTTGGACAGGGAGAGCAAGTTGTTGTTTGGAAATCAGTAAGGTTACCTCACTTAACCTCAGGAAGAGAGATTAAGGCCTGAGATTGTTGATTGTTTCCAAAGGATCCTCCGATTAAGTAAGGATATTTCTTTCCTCTAAGGTATTCCATTGTGAATCCACTTCTCCATGAAACCATATATGCTGTTCCTTTGGTTTCATACTCAACTTTTTCATAAATTATATCGGGTTCGCTAACTTTTAGATGCCACAAATCTGTGAGGTATCCAGTCCTTTCAGGGTCTACTCCTCCATACATAATTACCATTTGGTTTCCGCTGGATAACATAGCAGGCTTATTTCTTTTCATTGGGGCTCCATCATATCCTAAAATTGTTAGTTTCAAAGCAACTTACCTCTTTCGATCAGGTCTAAAGCTGTCTGGTTAACCACATTGTACAGCACTGGGGAGGATATAACTTTATCATTATTATCAAGTCCTCCGAAAATCAAGAATGTCGTGTTGGTTACTTCAGCAACTGAGTGGCCAAATCTACAAAATTGATTCATTTCTTGTTCAAATTCCTTCTTCACCCAAAAGTTTGAGATATGAACCGACTCTGGATCCTCAACGTATTGGATAACTTTATCAATCTTGAGTGCCCAAAGATCGCAAGCATATCCTTCTCTATTTTTACCTCCAACCAGGTAACCTGCTCCGAGGACCTTCATCATGATCGAGGCTGCATAAGCTCTTTCCTTTGGAATGACACCAGTCACATTCTGGATTTGGAGTTCTAGCAAGTTCTTGTTGTCTATGACTGAAGTCCATATTTCCTTTGTAATATCATACACCCAGAGATCTCCTAAGATTTCTCCATCATAAGACATTCCTCCAAAGATGATAAGATAGTTGAAATAGCAAAACATCGAGTGGGCATATCTGGGCTTTGGTTTTAGATTTGAATTTTCCTTTGCTTTAAACCACCTGTTAAGTTTTGAGTCGTACTTCATGATATCCCCCATTGGAACAACTGTATCATCAACATTTCTTCTTCCTCCATATACCCAGACCTTTTGGTCCCATGTTTGGCAACTTGCATGGTCTTCTCTTGGCAAAAACCAGTCGCTATCAGAATCAACACAATTAATTTTCAAATTCTTGAATTCTACTACTCTTGCAATGAAATCGCTCTTTACTGACCCATCAAGAGCTTCAAATTTGAGCTCGATTGTTGGGGTCTCTTGTAACTGGTATGATAAGTAACACAAATCGTAGATGATGTAATGGTAAATTTTGCCTGATGTTTGATTCCTCAAAATTGGAATAGTATCCTTTATATTCACAAACTCGTTCAAATGGCCTGGAGCATTCATCTTTGACTTCACATCAATGACCTGTTTCATATCAACCACCTCAGTACTTGCAGGTTGGGACCACACCTCAATGATAATTGAATGTGACTCAGATATGTCCATTGAAGGTTCAACACCAAGATCATCTAGTGAAAGAGTGATAATGTGTTCATCTTTCTCATTCAAGGCTATCTGCTCTTTCTTGAGAACTTTAGTAGTCTTGAGTCCTCTAGAGTCTACATCATCTTGGGCATCTTGCATGAATCATAACCCAATAATACATGCCAAAAGTAGGATTTTCCCAAATGACATTTTTAATTTAAAATTCAATTCTTCTCAGTTTTTACGGGGTTTTGGGGTTTTGGGGTTTTGGGGTTTTGGGG